CCTATTTCAGTGGAGTATTACCACTTCACGTTCTCTGTTCTACAGCTATAACGTGCAAAAATTATACGGCAGTTTCATGTCAACTGCAGTGATCAAAATATATGGGTGAAAAGCAGAGGATGGAGTCAGGAGAATAGTTTATTTATTTTTCTTTTTTTACATATATTCATGTTCTACTTTTTTAAGTTCTCGGCTCTTGATGCAGCCAGAAAGCACAGTTTGTACTGTGACAGTAAAAGCCCAATAACATCCCTTTATGTTCATAGAAGTTGGTCCCTAGTGTTTTTAGGGGACCGAAAAACCCACAGCTATACACAACAACAGCCCATAGAGCAGCTTGAGCAACAAAACGACTGCTGACTGATAGTTTTTCCCGTATTTACATGTCCTTGCAAGATACAGAAAGAAAAATAAATAGATAAAAAAGTACCTTCTACGCCACCACATTTAGCCATTCCTAACTGTGCCTTCAGGCTTTTCCTGCAATGAGAGAGTCCAGTAAATATAATAAATAAATAGCAGAAGGAACTGCCTTCCCCAGCTACCACTGCTACTCAGCTTACACCCTGCAGCAGAAGACTCAGTTTCACTTTTATCATTATTTTAGCTGGCAATTGCTTAGACAATTATCCAGTTCTTCTTAAGAAGCTTAATTAAATTATTTATGAAGTTGACCTCCCACAACAGTGAACTCCTTAAAATTTCCTTATGTAAGAATAGAACACTATTTTATTTTGTAAAGGAGAGAGGTAAGTTAACTGTAGAATCACATGTAGTTAGCATTTTCAACTGCACTTGGGACACAAAGAGATTCTAATAAATAATATTGTTGTCCAAGTTGGTTTCTCTTGCCTTACAATGAAGAGGTCAACAATAATTCAGCTTTATTGATTGACTTGGTTATGCCAAAATCAAAGGGAGAAGTGAAGGAAGGTTGTTCTCATCCCATGTGGATGAAGTTCTTCCATTTCCCTAATGGTTTAAAAAGAAAACGGGGCTTATTAGAAACCTGGGCCATCCCTAAAATACCATTATGGCAAGTGACATAGAGGAACCATTTTGAAATGTTGTTTTGTTGGTTTATCGCAGTAGTAATGACAGTAATTGAAAATGTTAGAGAAGATCTTTCATAGTCTGCTCTGTAGCAATTAGCTGAATTAGGGCACAGTTATTGGGCTTGTGCAGTCCCCATAAATATGCTTAAGACTGTAACCAACCATGTGCTCCTGTCAATCCATCTGTATTGGTTGTACTATGAGTATATGAAAACAGTATTTTCCAATGTATGCTCCGCTGTATTCTATTCAGTGGCTGTAATTTTCCTCCTGTTATATATTCAGGCTATCAAAATTTGCAGGCAAATAGTGTGAGCATCCAGAATGATAGAAACCTAACACATCTGCAAATGATACTGGGGAAAAAATAGTGTTCACCTAAAACATTGGCTTTTGTAATAATGGGAACAAATCAAATGAAGCTATTTATCTACTTCAAGGCAATATTGAAAGGTTGCTTATTTCTTATCTTGTTTTCATTCTCCTTGGTACCATGCCTATGACCAGTTGAGGTCAACGAGGCTCCATCCATGAGATCTGTCGGCATTTGCTTTTAGAATGCAACATTTTAGTAAATGTTAAGAGAAGGTGGCCCGATCAGTGATTCTCAAAATGGCCCATGGCTGGTTTTGTTTGTTTATTTGGTTGGTTGCTTTCACATAGCTGGTTTTATAAGTAGCTGCTCCAGGTAGAATAAAGAGTTAAGTGTGCTAAATATGTAGAGGCATATTTAAAGATAATACCCATGGAATGTTTGTACTTATCTCTTTCATCCTTCTTCCTCATCCCTCTGTTATCTTCCTGAGAGTTCTATCTCAGGGCCCTCTCTGCAGATTAGGGAGCGTCAGGGAACCTCATGAGATACTCATACAAAGGCTCAGTTTTTCAATATATTGCTTTTGAGGCTTGAAGAAGTAGAGGAAACCCCATTGCAGGGTGTACCTACAGAATATATGTGCTGTAGTGCACCCACAATACATCATAAGAGAAGACTGCCTGTAAATGATTAAATGTGAAAATAAAAGTGTGCCTGTGTATTTGCAGTAGCTTCCTTCTTCCCTGGTCTCCCTGACTCCAGCTTCTTCCTGTTTCCAGCCTGTCCCACATTCTTCTGCCAGAATAAACTTCCTGGTGTAGTGGAGAACCCAACTTGAGCCTACACTATGTCTGGGCATGTTGTTTAAACTGATGGGCAGTTATGACAAGACATTTATCTGTAGGTGGGCTCGGGGAGCCTTTGGGAGAAACTCATCTTGCGGGAAATAAAGAATTAAAAAGTAAAGCTTGATCAAGTAATAAAACCTGAGTTGTCAGAGATGACAGATAATTCTGAGTTCAGCCAGGAGCCTGCGATTAGTCTACTGGATTTAGAATCTTCATCCAGAGGAACACTGTGGAGCGAAAGCTAGAAGGTCTGTTTTACTAAAAATTCTTTATACCCTAAGAGCAAAATAATCACTACTTGGTATCCTGTGAACTGTGGGTAACACAAAAGGCTAAAGGTTACTTGCTTTCATTTCTCTGCGGTCCCTGGTGGGCTTTTGGAACCAAAATGTGTTTCAGGGGCGCCTGGGTGGCTCAGTCCGTTGAGCGTCGGACTCTTGATTTCAGCTCAGGTCATGATCTCAGGGTCGTGAGATCGAGTCCCACACTGGGCTCCGCATTCAGCACAGAGTCTGCTTGTGTTTCTCTTCCTCTGCCCCTCCCCCCAGCGCTCTCTCCCTCTCACTCTAAAATGAATAAATAAATCTTTTTAAAAAACGTGTTTCAATGTGTGGGTGGTTAACACCTGTAGAGCTGGCAAGCCCTGCAGGATAGCTTTCCTCTAATGAAGTGCTGTCAGGGGCACCTGGGTGGCTTAGCTGGTTAAGCATCTGTCTGACCCTTGGTTTCAGCTCCGGTCATGGTCTCAGGGTTGTGAGATCAAGCTCTGCGTTGAGCTCTGTGCTGGGCATGGAGCCTCCTTAAGATTCTCTCCCTCTCCCTCTGCCCATCCTACCTACTCCCCCCGCCCCAAAATAAAATAAAAATAAAGAAGTGCTGTCAGAGATAAGAAAGAGACATTGGTGCCCCGGACTGGCACTTGGTAAGGCACAGGGAGACTCAGGGAAGCAGCCCTGGTCCCTCCTGGAAGGCCAGTGCTACACAAGAGACACCCCATGGTGACTGGCCATGTTTATTTATGACACGTGTGAGATGCTCCCTGAGACTCTCTGAAATATTTGAGGAAGCTTTATTTTTTTTAAAAGATTTTATTTATTTATTTGAGAGAGAGAGAGACTGAGAGAACGAGTGGGGGAGGAGCAGAGGGAGAAGCAGACTCCCTGCAGAGCAGGGAGCCCAACGTGGGGCTCAATCCCAGGACCCTGGGATCATGACCTGAGCCAAAGGCAGACACTTAACCAACTGAGCCACATAGGCTCCCTTAAGGAAGCTTTAGATGGAGCTGAAGCATTGAATGAGTGTGTGTAGGAAAAGAGATATAGGAATTTGCCCTTGAGAAATTACAAAATATTTAAGTCCTATGGAAAATTCAGAAAACACTGACATCCAAGTCCCTAGAGCCCACATAAAAGAGTTGTGACTATCTTGCCATATTTGCTTGAAATGCCAATTTTATGCTTTTTCTATTGAAAAAATAAAACATTATAGATATATCCATGTTCCCTTCTACTTTCTCACACGTACTTACCATCAGGGAGCTGAGACGTGGGAATCCATAAAAAAATTCTTCATGTTTCCTTTTCACTTTTGAATGTTAATACTAGTAGATTGTACACAACTTTTTAAACTTTTTACACTTATTTTAAAGAATACTTGATCTACTTCTTCTGTTTAAAATATTGTATAGTCTGCCATCATTTGAATGAACTGTGATTGATTTATGCATTTGAGGCACTGACATGTGTGCTGTTGTTGATTTGGGCAAAGTTTTATACACATGCTTATGGTATACTTCTCATGCCCTCAATATTCCAGAAACTCCTACAATTATTTATGGGATAAAGCCCAAACCCATCCACGTGGCACTTGGGTTCGGCCATTAAGGACACGTTCAGACTTACCCATTGCTCCTCTCCTCCTAGGGACCATGGCCGTGTCACTCCAATGGCCATCCCATGAACTTTTCTCCTGCCCTCTCCCTAAAATCCTTCTTTCTGCCTAGAGTACTTACCTCTACTCTCCACCCCAGGCCAATGCCACTCTCCTTTTGCAGAATCACAATTCCAATTTTTGAAGTCCAGACTGTTTCATACTTTTTTCCCCCCAATTCCCAGCTGCATTTCATTTCCCCCCGCCCACCAATTCTGGATCTTCCTGTTTCATCTCTATTATAGAATTGGTTATACCTCTCCTTCAGTTAGGACACGTGTGTGCCTTCCCCGACTTTCACCTCTGGATCATCCTTAGCTCCAACCGTAAAGTAAAAGTTAAATGAATAAATAAGTGAACAAAGTAAAAAATAAATAAAGGCTCAATTAAATGGAAAGCAGAAGGTATTGCTAAGCCGAAAGTAGTCTTAGTGTTCCTTAAAACTCAGAAGCCGGTCATGACTGCATACCTCCTGGCATCAGCCGTCCTCTCTAAAATACAATTGTGAGAAATGACCAGCGAGCGGGCGGATGAAACCTGGCCCTGCCAAAACCACCAGGGGACATACATTGTTGACAGTAGGGACGAGGAGTAAGAGAAAACTCCTTTTCTGTTCCTCAGCTCGGGCCGTGCGTGTGCGCATGTGTGCGTGCGTGTGAGCGAGCACGCATGCGCATTCCTCCATCAGCGGAATTGATTCACAGGTTGTTCCAGGCAGAGCTGCTTGAGGCTGAGTCAAACCTCCTTGGGGGGAGGGAAGTCCCGGATGGAGACACGTACAGACGCAGGCACTCATCCCTGGCTCTGCTCCAGGTTACAGGAATCTCTGGTAAGAGCCAGAGCCTGCTACACCATTAGAGAGAAAATCACTCGGCTCCCCCAGTCTTTTGCGTCCAATTTATGTCCAATTTGCAGACTTTCAACATTGCAACCTCACAGTTCATAAAATCAAACTCAGCCTGGGTAAGTCTCCAGGTAATGGATTTAGGATCACGGGAGGTGTTACCTGCAGTCCATGATGGGTAACTTTCTTGTTAACTAAAGTCCCTTTAGCTAAATGAGTTCCAGGTTTAAGTCTCCCTTTCTTTTTTTTGGCAGGGATTTGGGGGATGGGGGGAGGGTAGGCGTAGAACTTTATTAGGCTGCGCGTGGAGAGCTTTTCATTGCAAAAGGCAACAGGAAAAAAAAAAAAATTGGGATAAGCCAGTCTTTGTATAAACGGAAGGTGGTGAAAGGAAGGCTGTGTATGGGGGCTAAGGGATCAACCCTCCGGCTCCACTCGGCTACGTAGGGACCCGGGGAGACGGCCTGGTGCTCCAGGCGGAGCCGGGCTGTTTCCGCAGGTAACTGTGGCTCTGCGGGGAGGGCCCAGGGAGGCCGAAACCGCAGCGGAGGGGCCTGGGGGAGGGGCCTGGGGGGGCGGGGCAGACACTCCGCGTCTCTCATCCCCTCCGGCGCCCTCGCGCTTGGGGCGAACGCATTTCTATCCGCTTGCCCTTGGCGGGGGGGGGGGGGGGGGGGGGGAACTCTCATCAGTAGTCCGTCGTCGAAAGCAGGTCAATTTAATATTCTAGGTGTGTGTTTAAGCATGTGTGTGAATATGCATACCACACGGGAGCCTGTGTGTGTGCTCACACTAACAATTACGGATCTATTCCAGAAACCTACAGGGAACTATCCCTCCTAAGATCAGTGGCCCTTTAAACGTCAGGCTCAGAAGTCAGGTTAATTGGATGTCTTATGTTTTTCAAACAAGTCATGTTTGAGTCACTCCACTTAAAAAGCTAATAAAATGCTATTTAATTTGGGCCTTCTGTTATTCCTTAACCCAAGACTAGCTACTTCTATATTTTATTTCTTTGAAAAGTCGTTTCCCTTATAAAAATCGCATGGCTGTGTGTGTTTCATTGCTCACCTGGATGCACACGTCTCTTAAACCCTTCACCTTGCCTTCCTGCTCCCTGGACCTCCTCGTTCTCCCCTCTGTCTTCCTGCTTTTTGCCAAAACTATCGTTCTGTCTTTTCCGATCTCTCAGAGTATCATGATCTTTTCCAAAAAGAGCTCTGACTGCTGTATCTGAGAGAGAAAGAATGAGTATTTGACTTAATTTAGTGGTCAGATAATCTACTTTTACTAAAACAAGGGCAGTTCCTATTCTTAGAACGTTCAGTTGAAGAGGTGAGTCCTTTTATTACTTTTTTGTTGTACCTACTGGAAATTGTCCTATTGTTTCACACATTGTAGACATCTGGGCCAGTGTTGACATTTTATATATTATTGCAAGATTAATAAATAATAGACTGGCTATTATGGTATTGTTTTCCTTTACCAGCAGACTCTTTGGTATATATTTATAGACATCATTTATGTCTATAGGAGGTATGTAGTGCTGTGTTTCCATTTTCTCCATTTACATATCTGTAAGATGGAATTTGGGGTTTTGTTTTTGTCTTAATCGGGTTAGTGGATTGTCATAAATATTGGAATAATACATACACACGTCCTAATCCTATCACTAAATAGGTGCTTACAATGTAGTGGGCATTTTTTTTTTTTAAGTGGGGAGAGGTTACCATGATATCATTCTTGCCCTGTGTCTCTCAACAAAGTTTAATGAGAGAAAAACAACTATTTTTTTTTCTTTCTTTCAAAAACCCTACATAAACTCATTTAACCTTCTCGATGTTGTAGAAACACTTTATAAGAACAGTTTGAGAAAGAGCTTCAAGGAAATTGCTAGAATGCGGAGCAAATGAGTAACACAGATTCTGGTGTCTGAATCTAATGAATGGACACAAATTAATCACCTGGGAAAACCATTCGCTAGAACAACCATGGAGTGACTTTGATGACTTGTTGGAGTCTTCTCTTGCTCATGTTATTTCTTTCATCTGGTTTGCCTCTGAGGGTCACTCTGCTCCTTCTTTACACATGGGTACTGTTCTTTGCTCTCCCTGGCTCATAGGAGGGAAAGTGGAGACTGAGACTCAGTCTGTTGGCTCAGTGCCTTGGGTCTTGTGAATAACCAAGTTTCATTGGGAAGGAGCTACCACCGTGCAGGGCCTTGATTTCGATATTGCAGTCTATGAATTTGAAGGGAAAAGAAGGTTAAGGACTTCCTGGAAAATTTAAATTACCTCTTAGTCATGTGCCCATTGGAAATTAAACTGCTCTCTCAGAACTTGGACTCCAGACTTGTCCTTTGGTTTGTGTGAGGCATCTGGAGGGGAGCTGTAAGCCAAATGTGGTGTCCTGGGTGGGAAAGGTGGTTAACCTGATCCCAAACACCTTTCCCTGCCATATGCCCCTGAGTGTCTTAGAGTTTGCCTTTCCAAGCCAAGCACCAGAAAATGTCTACAGGATGAGGTTGGGACAATTACATGGTGGTGGTGGTATCTTATTTTTTAAGAAAAGATGGGGGAACCCTTAGGTGTTCAGGGTTTGGCAAACAGAAATAGCAAAAGATTTTGGATTTAGAAATGGGGGGGGGAAACTCTCTCCCTAGGACATTTGTCTTTTATTTCTGTTAGCAACTCATAAAATATGAGTTAAAAATTGTATTGCTTTTAATTCATAAAAGTTCTATTTGTGCAGAAAATCGTTACTAAAACAAATATTAGATAGAAGCAAGAAATCAATAGCGGAATTAATATGATTGTCTTAAAAAAAGCAAGCAAACTGACAAAAATAATTATAAGTAACAAGTGTAAATTGTTGGTGGCTTGCTATAAAAACAATATAGAGTGATTAATTGCTTTCTTAAACATCAAGATTAGCCTTGAACTAAATTTGGAATTAATCCTGTACTAGCTGGGAGAAAATACTCAACTTTTCTATGTCTATTTCTTTATCTGTAAAAAAGAACTAATGATAGTTCTCATCTCAAACAACTGTTATAAGAATAACTGAGATAGCATATATAAAGCATTCAGCATAGCTGAATAAATGTAACATTTTAGTTGTAATTAGTTGGAAAATGACATTAATATTATCTCATCTAAAATTGTCATTAAAATATACAAAAAAGTTCTTAGAAAAAATTACAGAAAAAATGTAGGACCTATAAGAATGAAAATACTAGATTTTACTATGAAATATAAGGTTTCCTTTCAGTAATGAAATAATATGCTATCTTTATAGATTAGGAGATTCAATATTATAGTGATGTCAGAATATATATAATCCATTGGGAATGTTTAGGGTGTACTATGTGTCAGCAACTGTATAATTATTAATATGTGTGTGTATACCCCAATTATTATTCATATCAACTCAGTGAAGAAGGAATTATTTTGTTCAACTCATAAAAGAGGATACTGGGGCATAAAGAAGAAAAAATACACAAGTCCATATGGCTGGTAATTGGAGGAATGTGAAATTGGATAGAAGTAAATTTTATTTCTAATTTGAAAAATGAATAGGACTTTGCAATTGCTTAAATGGTTCAAAATTAATCTGGAAAAGATAAGTCCACTAGAGCAACCAAGGGTAATTTTCAAACAAAGAATAGCATATGTACAATTATCTTAACAGGAATTAAAATATCTTATAAAGCCACGAAAGGACAGATTCATGGTATAGAATCGAGTCAAGAAAAAGAATCAAGAATAAAGGATATTTATCTCAGCTTGAGTCTGCTTTAAAATCAGTCTAAGAGAAACATTTGCATCCAGATAGCGTAGGGATAGGCGCTGGGAACTTGGAAGACTGGAACAAGGAAAGAGGCTAAGCCAATGTAAGGGATGCATTATTTGGCTAGTAAGTGGGCAACTGGGACTTGGGCACACTGGGTCATTCTGAGGAGCTCTGTACAATACATCTTCGTCACTGAAGATGACAGAAGAGCAGTGTATCCATCCGGTCTCCTGTCCCACACACTGGTCAGAGGTTGTCCTTGGTCAAGAGTACTATTCGCTTGTACTTCCGGATTGGTGTATGTGTCATAGTGGTGGAGTGGTTTCACCAAGCATCCTCTGCCACTGCGGCGGAGGAAGTCCCTTGGGCTGGAAAGGAGAGATTTCCGTTTTCAGAGGAGGCAAGTTGCCCTCAGATCTGAGTCCACTCCAGCAGTGGCCGGAGTATGAAATGGTCTGAAAAGATGGGTGAAGTCAGAGAGGGATTAGATGCAGGGAAACAGTTTCTAGTAAAAGTGGCATTTCAAAAGCACTGCGGAAATAGCATTTTATTTGATTATAGAGTTAGGGAAAACTGGTTAAAATATGAATAAAACTTACATAAAGTTCCAGGTGAAATAATGATTTAAATGGTAGAAAACAAAAATACTAAAGGATTAGAAGAAAATATAGGTGAGTAGTTTTTTTTGTTTAAACGTTTGATTGGTTGGTTGCTTGTTTTTGTTTTTTAACAATCTTAGGGATGGAAAAGACTGTTATAATATTTAAGACTAAAAACCACATAGGAAAATACTACAACTAATTTTTAAAAGTTTTTTAAAAGTTAATCCAAAATAGTTTTTGCTCTTCAAAAGTTGCTTTCTTTCTCCAACTAAACAGTTTTATTAAGTTAAATAAATATATCTGAAGTTTGACTAGTTAGTTGCCAAGTACTCATTATCCACTCTCTGCCCTAATATACTGTATTTACAGTACAGCACTTAGTAACTTAAGACCCTATGATCAAAGAGAGATCTAGGCCACCCTTAAATGTATATCTAAAATCTAGATGAATTTTTTTAAAGATCAAAGTCAGATTTATACTCAGAATCTATTAGGGGTGTGGATCTGTAAATGGAATATCAGAGCAATTTAAGAGTAAAGTATTCCCCTCTTAATTTCACTGCTATTTGAATTTTTTTTAAAGATCTTATTTATTTGAGAGAGAGAGCGAGTGAGAGAAGGAGAGAGAGAGAACACGAGCAGGAGGAGGGGCAAAAGGAGAAGCAGGCTCCCCCCTGAGCAGTGAGCCCAAGGAGGGGCTGGATCCCAAGACCCCAGGATCATGA